ATTCAAAGCTTTTTCACACTGAAAAAAAAGTTTGGTTGTAACTATAGTATGGATGTTGGATTTAATTTGACATTTGTAGTGAAGGAGAAAAATTATATTTCCTGTTTTCATATTTAGGAAATTTCTGATCAACATTCTTGAACCTGGGGCTAATTATGCTTCTAAGAACTTCTTACCGTTCTGTTTTACCCTTCTTAATCATAAGCATTAAAACCTCTGGTAGCTTTCGCTTGAGCTCCCTGGTTTTAACTGAAATGGCTTAAAGTAGAAATTTTGTTAGCTTTTTGTATGTTTGGTTTTGTATGTGTTCTGTTTTTAACTTTCAACTTGAGTTTTAAGATCATCAATCAAAGGCTTTTCTTTCAAGTCAGTTGCACTGATCTCAACTGTAGGACTTAGAGGGTCAGCGTTTCTCTCACACTATTAAAAAATTTTAAACATAGAAATAGAGTATTTTAGGAATTTGAGCTCCACTGATCTTTTCATCACATATCCAAATAAATTAGATACAGGAAACTCAGGAAATGTTCTCTCACTGTCTCCACACCTCTCCCTCCTTCACTCTCTTTGGACAAAAGTAAATTATCAACTGCTATACTAGCTTTCAGCAAGCTTCAGAGAGGCTGATTGTAGCTTTACATATTTTAAAATACATTCATTTATTCAAGCTATCTCTTTCCTTTATTTAAATGTTTTCCTGCACACATTTTCTTTTTCCTTTTGAACTATTGTTACGTGCCTCATCTCCCACATTTTGTAACCCCATCTCCCACATTCTGTGACCCCAGTGGACATTATCATCAGCCTGTGCTTTTGTCTTTCAGATGGCATTTATTTGTGGGTGTGTATGTCTGTGTCTGACTGTCACTTGTTTTCATCTGCCAAATACAACTAATTTTTGTTTATATCAATGAAAACAAAGTATTTGACATCTGAACTGATGGCTGTTGCAGGATCTCTTATACCCCCCGAACCCTACACCCCAAATTCAGGGTGAATTGGTTTAGCTTTCTTATTGTTAATAATCCCAGTTAACTACATCGAATTTAGTCTTCGAAGTTTTGCTTCTAGATAGGATTCTGTGATGGTTAATATTATAAATTTAAAGCTTTACCAGGTTTTTAAGAGAATGGCTCAGTTTCAGCAGAGCATAATCTACTTTCTCCCGATTGGAGTAAGTTCCCTTGATGGGCCTTCTAACTGGATGAGAATTTAAATTGGGTGAAATGAAGATAGAGATGAATGTTGAGTTCATTTCTGATTTTCATTTGCAAGTGAATCCAGTGTTAGGAGTGTTGATTGCATATTTTGGTTCATACTCTGAGGCTTTAGTATCTCCTTGTGGGCAGAGTTTTGTAGATGTTGTTGCCTTTCTACTACACTGTTCAATCTGCTGTTTAATATATGCATAACTGAAAGGTTTGTGCAACTGCCTGTCTTCCACTCTTCCCCCTCTGCCCCCTCTGCTCTTATTTCTTCCTACATGAAGTATCGTATATTTTGTTAGGAGGAAAAGCCCTTTTGGAAATTGCCTATTTCATAAATTGTCTGGTGACACAAAGGGGTTGAATGCTGTATTCTTGTCTCATTTATTTTGAAAACTTTGCTACTGAACTCACCTTAATCAATGAGCTCAGTGTTGTCTCCAATAAGTTATGTGTTGGATATATTGATTGCGAGGGATTTTAGAAAACCCGTCTGGGGTTTATAATGTCAGCAGTGTTTTCATTATGAAAAGAGTTGGAACCTGGGGACATGGAACCAGGTGGCGAATGTCCTAAAGCCAGTGGTGACATGGTGGACTGCTTCCCTCCTGGGATCTAGTTCATGCCCTGCACTTTAACTGTGGTGACTGGCTACTGTAGATTCACTTTTTTGCTCATTAAAATGTTAAAAAATCAAACTGTACATAAAAAGATTTGTGAAAATATAAACTTGGGAATTGATCTGGAGAGCTGGCACAATCTTCCCCACCCCCTGCCTTAGCAATGAGGTCATTTACATTTCATCAGCTGCACTGCATCTCGAAGATCCTATTTATGTGGCAGTAGTTGAGGTTGTACTGAGGGTGGTTGTCTGAAAGAGCTTATGTAGGCAAGAGAAAGGGGGGAGAAAACAGGAAAATTTTCATCTACAAAGAAAGTTCCCTAGCCAAAGATACAGGTTCTAGGGAGAAAAAGGGGTTGGTAACTGGCTAGTGACTATTTTCCTAGTAAAGTTAATATCGAAAGACACTGCTATAAAAATGATGCTCAAAATATGTTTAAATCAGGTTTTTAAAGTTCTCTCTCTTGGAGAGTGGTACTTTTCATATTTACGTAATTATGTTTTTCTTTGGAAAAAGAGGATGAGGTCTGTGTTTCTATATAGGGAAAACATCAGTATTAAGAAAATTGGTTTATTTCAGCAGCTTTTATTTACAAGAAACATTGCCTGTTTTTCCTTCCCTCTTCGTGTCCTCCCCTTCTCAAATGAAGAAGATGTTTCAGTTCTGATTGAGATAATATGTGAATATGCCTAATACAGAGTAGATGCTCATTTTTGTTTTCTCTTCTGTTAGCACACCACCGTCTTGTTTGACTTAAATTGGAATATCAAGCTCTTGTAATATCACAAACATGAGAAACATATTGTAATGCACAAACACGTGCCTACATTTGCCTATATTCCCTTCCCTCTCCCCTCCCCCTACCCCATTGCTTAATTAGACGTACCACTGCTTTCTTGGGTAAAAAGGAAAGCTCTTGGGAGGTGGATTATACTCAGCCTACATTGGGTATTTTGATATTTGTTCTAATATTATCTGACAGACAAGTTCACAGTTGGTTATTACTCTTAACGTTAGAAAGTGGTAAGTAGTTTCTACATTGTAGTGAGTGGTAAGTTGGGCATATTAGATTTCTTTGACTCTGCTGTAGAGCACAATACTTTCTCGTAGCCATGGGGGTCCTTTCTTTCAAACATCTTGAGGCCTTTTGGCAGCTCAACTCCAGCATAGAGTAGAGAAGCACTTCTGCACCTGTAACTTTTGAGGGGTAAAGGATAACTGTCTTTGTAGCTGATCTTGGCAGTGAGTGAGCACTTGGTACTGAGTTTGAAAGAATGCTCGCTACATATGCTCAAGGCAAGAGACGCTTTGTGGTATTTGAAACTTGAAGTGAAAGGAAATTTGTAAGGAATCTTTTTTGCGTGTTAATAATGAGAGTTCTGTCGGGGGGGGTTATAGTATATTTTATGCATAAGTAAAATTGCAGACATTAAAATGAGTATTTTATGTGATTCTTTTTCAATATTCGCCTGATAGTAACATTATACTCTGAGAAATTGCTCGTTTTTCTGATTCTCTATTAGCTGTTGCAATTTATTTAAATATAATGTTTTAAAACAATATATAAGGACTTTTGAATGCCATGTTATACAGTTAACTAATATATCAATAATGCCTCTTAGAATATGCTGAGGTATTCTCATCCAGTCTTTTTCATTTTTTGGTTTCCTGTTCCTTTACTATTTCACGACATGCCTTAACAGTGCTGTGATATACGTAGTACCAGTCCAAGATGATATTAAAAAATAGGATATGCTCAATTGAATTATGTAGGCGGAACATGCTCTGGCAGAGCAAGTCAATGTGCTTTCTGCTTCACTGAGTGGGTTATTAGATTGATGTGGTTTATTTCTTGAATGATAGAACTGGTTTTAAAAATAAATGAAGCGAGAAGCATCAATTCAGTTAGCATTGATAATTCATTATTATTGGTTAGAAAAGTGCTACATTTGTAAACTGATCTTTAATTTATCACTTGGATTAGTATTTGCAATGGGCAGGTTTGTTTTAATTTGAACCAGCTTCTCAATGACTGAAAAATGTGTTCTTCATTTTGTCTTGAAGTTGGGATTTTAAATAGTTAAAAAGCAAATCAAATGCATGAAAGGAATACTTTTTTAAAATTTATAACATTGGTCTATGAACTTGAGATAAGCACCAACTGTGGGCTGTCCAAGTCTGCAGTTAAATTAAGTCAAGCCAGAGAAAATTCTGTGAAGGAAGTAATAATTAATTACTTGTATATGCTTTTAGCTATGTGTATACATGCTGTATACGTGAAATGTGCCTGTTGGGAAAAGTCACACCCTACTGTGTATTGTTTCTCACACAGTAGTGTTCTTAATGTAAGAAGCTTTTCTTTTATGAATAAGTCTTTGAAATGTCACTCTGCTTTTTATTCCTTTTTTATACCCTTCCCCTGAATGATGTGCTTGGTTTTATGTACCTACATTTTGTAAAAAGATATTTAAACTGGTAGTTTGCTTTGGATTTTCAAAAATTACAAGCAGGTAAGTGTGTCCAAATATGATAATGGCATTTAACTAGAAATAGGCATACTTAAAATTGTTACAGTTTGATTACAAAATAAATTTATGCCAGAAATGGTAACTTCTTTATAAAGTAAGTAAATGAAGTTTTAAACTCTAAAAAATGTAGTTGACAATGTTCAGGGACAATTGTCTTCAAGTTGGCTTTCTATTCTGCTTGTGATTTGGCCTATTGATGTTGGGAAGCGTTGTCTATTCCCGGCCCCCTCTGTTCCTAGGTAACAGGCAAAAACGGTGCCAGCAACAGCGGCCCTGCCAGGCCAAACCCATGTGGCTCGGTGTTATTCACTCTGATCCATATGGTCAGGCTGGAGATGGTCCCTGGAGGGGTGTTAACACTCAGCAACCCAACCGCCTCCCTCCCTTCAGAGCTTTCCTGCATGGCTCCTGCTGCTTGCCCATGTGTGATTCTTGATTAATTTTTCATTTTTAATGAAGTTTGATCATGTTTATTATTTCTCATGATTGACTGCCTGGTACTCCTCCCGTGTAATTGATAAAGCCCATATTTCTTCATCTGTCTCCTCTTTCTTTAGGGTAAAGTTGCTAGATTGTGTGCTGTGGTTATTGTTAGATTTATTGGTCCCATTAGATGTATAAATTATCTCTCTTTCTCTCCACAGGAAGTTCTACAGACTTTGACCAAGTTTTGTTTCCCCTTCTATGTGGACAGGTAGTGTCAGATTTTCAAACTTTACTAGAAAAAAAGTGTCAATAAACCTGCTGTGGAAAATAAAAACCATACCATTCTTAACATTCTGTCTGTTTGACCATGATTTTAAAATGGCTATTTTTCCAAGGTGAGTCGCAGTTTTCTCCTTTCCTGGGGATTTTTTTGATGTTATCTAAAAGTTTAAAGCTTAAACCTTTGCATTGGTTAGTTTGTGAGATGTATTTTGCACGACATTAAATTTTTGATTTGGTTATCAGACTCAAACCATGATTAAGAATGGTAGATATTTAATCCAATGGTATTTAATTTTTCTTTAAATATCAATATGTTGGACTTAACAAGTAATATTACATGACTCCATGGCCTTATGAATATTATAATAGACTTTGTTTTTCCTAGACTTCAACTTGAAATTTACATCAGCATAGGTCTGTCTTGTTTAAAGCTGTTCAGCTATTTAAAAGGCATGTTGCTAAATAATGTCTTGCATTTTGCTTAGGTGGTTAAGAACTGTATCTCTGGGGAAATAAACATTTTCTATAGATTTCTAGACTAAAAAATACAAAATCATCTAAACATTTCCTTAATATTTGCATTATGATAAACTGTTTCTTGGCGAGGTACAAATATAAGAACTCCAAGATAATTAAAATAACTCTGAGGGTCTTTTTAAAAAGTAAGCCACTGGATAATGGCTACTTTTTTAAAGTAAGCTTATTTTTAAAGTAATTTTATAAGATATTTTTTTCTTATAAAACTATAATTTACTAACAATATTAATAAAATGACAAAACAATCACCCTAATCTTATTTTCAAGAAATGTCTATTGTGTTTTTCATTACAGTTTAGGCATTATTTTTGCAATCATTTATTTGTCTACTTGATTGCTGTCTATTTGTAATTTTCCCTTAATGGAGAATTGAACTGTGAGATTGTACAAACGTTATATTCCACTTTTAGTGATAGAGAGGTTTTAGAAAATAAGTAATAAATGCCATAATATTTTGCAAGAAAGCTATAAAATGTGCCCATCTCAGGAAGGTTCTGTCATGTATTTTAGTATACCCAAATAAGGCAGGCCTGAAAGATTTTAGTGACTTAGAGTGCATGTGGATAGTATGCTGCTTGGATCTTTTCTATACTTTGTAGTAGCAGTGTCCTGGTTTATTTGGCATAAACCTAAAAATGATGTGAGATGAGAATTGGTAGTCAAAGGAGTTTAAAAGAGTACTAAAATGCAAAAAGGGTACTAAAAAGCAGCTCTGGAATGTTGCCAAACACTTATAATCACTATTTTCCCTGGTTCTAACATGTCATTTTTTAAGCCAGTCAACCATTGTAGTATTTCCAGACTCGGGCCTTTTAAAATCTTGGTACCAGGCCTGTTTTAGTAGCAGGTTGGTGCTCAAAACAGAATAGCCTTAATTTTAAGAGGGTCAGTCTTTGTAATGACAGTCTTCTTGTCTCTTCTTTATCCTATTCCTTCTAAAAATAGCAAGGAAATAGGGTTTTGTTTAGAGACTTTTAATGCAAACTTCACATTTATATGTATGAATTAGCGATGCATGAAATCTCCTCCAGTCACTTATAAAATGTATTACAAATTATGGCAAGGGCATATTTATACAAATTAATAAAGCTGAAATGTTTTTAAAATGTGGTTAGGTGTTTAACAAAAAAAATAAGAGAATACATTTTTACATGACTTCTTGTTAGAGTGGTGATCTGTTTCGGGTAGATATTCATTAATTGACTTTGTAAGCTAATGTTAGAAGAAATGTGCAATGAGATTAAATCCCCTCCGACACAGACACTCACACACACACACACCCCTCTCTCTTTTTCTCACACCACACCCCTCTACTTACCTACCTGTCTTGGTAATTACATTCTGAAATAAAAGAAAAGCAGAGTCCTTTTTTGTCACCAATGTCTGAAGCCTTTTTTTTGTTAGAAAAAATATTTTTATTCCAAAATACTTCTCTCCAAACTACCCTCCCCTAATCATGTTTCTCATATTTTTTCACAAAATGATTTGGAACAGAAATGTCCCTTTATGGATATATTTTACTCCTTACCATGTAGAATGGTTCTTTCTTGTATTATATTACACACCCTATAGGTGTTGATAACTTTTATTGATACAAAAAATACACTTTATTTTGGGGACTATATCTTTTTTCTTCTCTTTCCCCACGTCTGATCGTGGCATACTTTAATATAGAAGGCATAGTAATAATGAAGTTTATTTACAATAAATACAAAGGTTTTAATGTGACGAATTTTTTTTGGTTTGCTGTTAGCACTGTCAAATAGATATGCCTAGATTCTGAGGCCCACAAAGCCCCCAGATGTATTTATGATATTGTTTGACTTAGAAAATATGTCAGCATGGGAGATGAGTAATGCCCCAGGTGATTGCGTTCAAAAAGGAAAGCTTCCTAATCTTTCCAGTATCTGTGCTTTTCTACCCCAAGGAACAGTAATACAACTTTCTGACATTTCTGGTCTATATCAAGAGTGGGATTTTCGCAGTCATCATCAAGTCACCTGTTAACATTGACATCTTGCTGTCTCTTGTTGTTGTAAGATTTTTCTTTCTGAAACTAGGACTTATGAGAAATAATAATGCTGGTAGCTCTTCAAAAGAAAGTGCTTTCTCATGTATTATCTCATTTTATCCTCCTATTATAATGGATGAGAACGAGTGCTGTTATCTTCATTTGAAAAACATCTAGGCTGCAGAGAAATTGTGGTTTGCCCAAGGTCCTCTTAGGCTGTAAGCACAACCTAGATGTCTGTCTCCCAGATGAATGCATTTTCCAGTAGAAAACCTTGTGGGAAGACCAGTCGCCAAACAGAGAGAGAGAGAGGAAAGGAAGGGAATTAGTATTTGAGTTCCTAATTGATTCTAGTCAACGTGCTGGACATTTTCACATTAATACCTCATTTATTCTTCCCAGCAACTCTGGGAGATAGAGGATGGTGGTATCTCTTTTACAAAAGAGCAAAGGAAGGTCCCAAATATGTAGCATTGTGTTGGGTGATATGGAAATGGTATCAGACTTGGAGCTCTGCCCTCCATGTGTTTCTCAGTTTAGTCCAGGAAGTATTATAAAGACACATTATACAGTATCTATCCAAAAGGAGAGTGAGGTTAGGGAAGGCTGAGATGATCAGAGAAAACTTCTCATGGTGGGGGAGACTTGTGTTGAGTCTGCAAGGATGGCAAGAAGGGGGTAAGTGGAAGGGAGAGCCTAACACCCCATGTGTGCTGAAGAGCAAAGCAGAGGAGAAACCATGAGTGAGCCTAGAGATTGTTCAGCCAGAGCAGATGGAGCCTGCTGAGGAGAGGGTGACATGTATCATGATTGCTTGGGCTTTGGTTACAGGAGGCCTTAAAATGTGTGGGAATAAGATCACAGGATTTTAAAGCTGAAATTCATCTGGTTCAAGCATCCCATTTCACAGAAGGGAAACCAAGATCTGTAGAGGTGAAATGACTTGCTTATGGTCACAACTCTGTAATTACAGAGCTGTTTCTACCCCACACTGTATTTGAAGCTCTTGGTGGAGAGGAGCAGTGAAATGACAGTGCTGAGATCCTGTGTCACGCTCAAAAACTTTTTATGATTATTGATGAAAGTGGTCTCTTTAAAAAAAAAAACATTTGTACCATTTCATATTGTGGTGCTACTTGCTTGCACTTGATAGCTGGCAACCTGCTTCAGTTAGTCAAAGGATTCAAGAGGCTCATTGTTATGGAAAAGCTATTATTCCTTTCCATGTTTGTGGCTCTTTCAGAACCCAGAAAGTCAGCTACCATTCAATTGTCCTATAAATTATACTGGTACACACAAATGACATGAGCATGAAATGAAATGACAATTTTTTGTGTGTGTGTGTGAGGAAGATCAGCCCTGTGCTAACATCTGCCAATCTTCCTCTTTTTGCTGAGGAAAACTGGCTCTAGGCTAACATCCATGCCCGTCTTCCTCCACTTTATATGGGACGCCACCACAGCATGGCTTACCAAGCAGTGCATCAGCGCGCGCCTGGGATCTGAATCGGCGAAGACCGGGCCGCTGCAGCGGAGCACGTGCACTTAACCGCTTGCGCCACGGGGGCCGGCCCCTGAAATGACAGTCTTTTCAGGGGCAGCGACGTAGTTTAATGATTTAGGATGTAACCACAGATGCAAATGTGGTTCAAACGCTATTTACCATTTTATTATGCATCTGTTATGTGCCAGGCATTGTGCTGTGTTCTCTTCCTGCACTAAAAGGTTACACATTTACAAGGTTACCATTATCATAATGCCACATATGAGGAAACAGAGGCTCAGATAGGTTCAATAACTTGCCCAAGGCCCCACTATTTGTAAGTGGTAGAGCTGCTTTTGGAACCCACATTTTTCTGACTTTCAATTCCACCGTACTTTTTCTACTATATCACACTGCCTCCATTAGCTCCATCATACCGTAAATAAAGTAATCTTTTAAAAGTTTCAAAATTTATTTCAAAAGAAATATGTATTTATTGTAGAAAAGTAAAAAATTCAGAAAACTTAAGAAAATGAAACCCATGCAAAAAATGACACTAATGCACATGATTAGTATGTTAGTGTATATCCACCCAGACCTTTCCGCTTGTTCCCACCTCTGTAGATTCACCCTGCTCTACTTTTCAAAACAATCCGTTTGGCCCACTTTTGTCCCTTGTTTGTCATCCTTGGTTTGGTCCCTTGGTTTGGTCCCATGGGTGAAGCAGTGCCCCATAATCATTTTATACAGCTTTCGATGAAGCAGTTGGGCCTTAGTGGACAGAGCACTGGGGGCAGCCCCCAGGACGTCTGGGTTCTAGTTTTGCTTCTGCCAGTGACTTGCTCTCTGCTGTGAGGCAAGTGACATCTCCTCTGAGGGCCTCAGTTTCTTTGTGGATAACATGAGGGAATTGGATTAGAGCTCTGCTGTTCCTTATGGTTTTTTTGATTCTCCAA